ATGGTGGTTTAAGCATGCCTTAACACATATTAAGTTGAGTGCAGGCACGCACTCGCCATTTCGTTCCTTTTGTTTAGGGTGCCCGTCCGTGTTCTGCATATGAAGAAGAATTTTTCAGTTATTCAGCTAAAAGAGCCTAGTGAGCTATGCACAATGCTAGCGGCGATGACTTATCCCACAGTGCTCAATTTGGATATGAAATCAGAGCTTTATATGTCAAAGAGCTATATCTAACTGCAGACAGTACTGTTTCGGCTTTCTCGGCCTCGTCAGTGCGGATGCTAGGATGGGGGAGAACCGATGTATGAATATATAGATATACATATATGTATTCTGTATACGAGGGAAACCCTGACCCTGTACACCCCAAATAATCATACTTAAATAGAATAAATGTTTGAAAAGAAAATTTGCCCTGAGCGGGATTTGAACCCACGTCCCCCTGTAACTAGTCAGGTGTGAAGATCACTACGCTATCAGGACAACCTTGCTGGCAACACGGCAATCGAAGATGTGATTTACGTGATCGGAGACGTGGTCTCCCGGGAAACTTAATTTTAAAGGTGACACGGCAGGGGAAGCCTATAACCCCATATATAACCCAACTAAGGATCTATTAAAGATACACGACCGGAGTCAACTTAGCGGATGACAAAGGAGGATCCAATTACGGATACAGGCTAATTTCAATTTGAAAATATTCTGTATACGAGGAAAACCCTGACCCTGTACAACCCGAATAATCATACTTAAATAGACCACGTCTCCGATCACCTAAATCACATCTTCGATTGCCGTGTTGCCAGCATGGTTGTCCTGGTAGTGTAGTAGCCATTACACCTGACTAGTAACAGGGGGACGTGGGTTCAAATCCCGCTCAGGGCAAATTTTTTTTTCAAACAATTATTCTATTTATATACATATATATAGATATACATAATGTGTGGAAGTCGGAAAAAAACAACTAAATATACATCCCTACAGACCTGTTTCGTGGTTGCCCACTCATCAGGGGATTTTAATAGCAGAATAATGCGATACCATCGCTTATATATTACACTAAATGCTAATTAACATGGTTTATGCAGTGTGAAAAGTGTCAAGTCAGCTGTTGCTGCATATATAAATATATAGATATCGGCTACACACAAAATCAATTTTGAGTGAGCTCCATCAACATTTTCTCTTACTGTACAAGAGCCATGACATCATACCACCGGGTCTAACTGTAAAATTAACACCACTAGTCGGATCTACAGACCTCCTAGATCAATGGAATGACGCTACTAAGAAATGCTCAAACCGTTTAATTGACCTCCTCGTTAAATCACACAAAGCTAAAAGCGTGACACTGTGAAATCAAATCGAGAGTAAAGAAAATATCCTAACCGAAAAATTGTCAACGTCACAACTTGAAGTACTTAAACACTGGCTTCAGTTTCAAAATGAGAATACTCATCGACTCTTGACCTCAAGAAAACAAGAGAAACTTCACCAAAACATTGCCCTGCAAAAGTCTAAAGTAAGTAAACACAAAACACCTTCATTGCCCACACCTATATGTAATGATTATCGACCTCAGGATGCCTATTCATTTATGTCACCTTCACCGGCCTCAACATCACACAATTTTTATTTATTTTATTTTATTTTTTTTATTTGATTTATTTGTTTAAGCAGGTTGAATTTATTGGCAACTATTAAGCTGATGTGGACCTGCTGTTTTCCCACCCAACCCACCCCAGGGGAGGACATCCAGCACACAGTAATCTCGTGCGTGGGAAATTAACGTCTCTTACCCATTACCCTTAAGAGACGGGACCTCCGGCTTTACGTCTTATCCGAGAGACGAAGCAAAGTGGGTAAAGCATCTTGCTTAAGGATACAGCGACATGTCCCTGGTAGGACTTGAACCCGGGCCCTTCGACCCAGAGTCCAGCGCACTTAACCACTGGACCACTGACGCCCCACTAACTTTAAATTAAGAAACGTACCTTTACCACAGCCTTTACAAAAGTTTGCATCTTCATCTACTACCGAACCACACGCGGAGCAAAACATGATGAACTCGAAAAATGGCGGTTTCCGAGCGAGTATTGTGTTATTGTTACACGACAATCCATTTCAAATGCAAATAGCAACCGCTGACCAACCGCTGACCAACTCGTTTTCTTTATTTTGCCGTGAGTTAATTTTGTTTTGCCGTGAGTTAATTTTGTTTTGCCGTGAGTTCATTTTGTTTTGCCGTGAGTTNGAGTAGAACGTGCCATCTTGCAACACGCGCCCCACAACGCGCAACGCTCTAACATCACTAGGCTAGAACGCGAAGCTATTAAATCGCTTAAACGTGATAGTGGTATTGTTATTTTCCAAGCTGACAAAGGCGCAGCAGTAGTAGTGCAAAACAAAAGGGACTATCTAACAGAAGCTTACAAGCAACTAAATGGTACTGATGAAAACGGTAACAAGGTATATAAACATGTGGCCAGCGACCCCACGTCTGACTTCGTCATCAGAGTAAAAGAAACTGTACAAGAGGCCCACTCTAACACAATCAATTTATGTGGTTTCTCTCGTAACATCATTACGCGACATAAGAAAATTAAGTGGGACGATTCAGTGCGATTTTCATCAGTCTTTAAGAGCAACAAGTGTCTCCCTTAGACTTTTTTCATTGCGCTACGCGTTTCACCACTGTTGTGGCTCTTCAGGCATACTGCAAAGTGTTTTTATTGACTTATTAGATCACAGATCTAATTGTAATTTACAATAATAATGGCTATTGTAATTCGAAGCGAGCGCGAGCATTTAGCGTAATTTTAAATCATTAGGAACGGCTTTATACTTCTCTTTGTTCTTTCTCATGACCTCGGAGGGGCTAAGAATCTTGTAAAACGGAAAGATAGTGAACTGGGGGGTCAATCCCGCAGCACATTCATCAATTAATATGCTTGCTGATTCCCAGGATACGTGTGTGTGGGTCTCTAATTTGTTGTTTATGAACTGTCACTCTATTTCTCAGGACATCATTCGTTTCTCCTATATAATTATGTCCACATCCTGCGCATGTTATTACGTAAATCAAGTTCGTCGAGGTGCAGTTCATAGTGTGTTTTATCCAAAATGTTTCATTCGTGGCGGAGAAGGTGAATTATTTGCCCTGTTTTAATTAAGTTGTCATTTTAATTCATACCAAACCTGAAGTAAACGAATTTGGTTCATTGTTGTAGAGTTGTTCAGATTTACTCCTTCGAGCTTTTATTTGGGAACACCACTTTTTAAAAGTACGCAGACACTTAAATTAAGAATTCTATTTGCAAGAAAGGTGTATGAAGTGGATGCTGAAAATATAATGGAATCTATAATTTATTTAAAATGCCAGCATTAAGCCAATACAGGACTTATGATGTCGAAAGGTTATAGTTTGATATAGTTTATCACGTAGGTAAGGAACCCACAATGCCGATTACGTATATTTGCAAACAAATTGAGTCCTAAAGTGTGACGTCACGTTGCCATGACAGCATTTTTTTCTGGTCTAAACAGTTTAAACTCATACTTCAAACATGGCGTCTTTACCGATATGCTCACTCGTTTCTTTCTTTTCTGGAGAGCGGAAATCGCTTGATCGCGGAGAAAACCACTTCAAATCCGACCATGTCCAAAGCTTTATTTATTCCAGGGGAGTCATCAAAGGTGAAGTCCAAGCAAGCATGAAAAATAAGGACTACAAAGTCACAGTAAGTTGCCAATTTGGGATCACAACACGTATGTTCAATTCGAAGAACTCCCAACCCCGATTTCACCTCCAATTTAATGTTTATATTGCGGAATATATATTGCAACTTACGTGTCTGTTTCGAATTATCTTTTTATCAGATTTATCTCGATGAAAACCTTGAAATAAAAAACACAGAATGCGAGTGTCCTCGCGGCGAGTTCAAGTGCAGTCACGCGGCAGCCATATTTATTTATGGCATCCATAACCTTAGCAGGACGGACCTGGAATGCCAATGGAAACGAAAGCGAAAGGCAGAAAGCGTACAGTCTGCAAGCCAGATGTTTCCAGCGCCACCGAAGAAGAAGGATTACAGCCCTTTGGCGCGCGATCCTAGCCGAGAAGATCGGATGTGGCTGTACAGCGAACTAAAGCGCTATGGCAAATTTACAGGGACCTGCTGGATCTTGAGTCCCGAACCACAACCTGCTACCCCTCTCCCGATCAAGACGATTGAGGATATCATTTACTCAGAAGGTTTCCTTATGGCATCTACGAAGGAAAAACAATTAGAGTACTTGATTGAGAATGCCAAAGTAGAGGAGAGAACCATAAATGTTGTGAGCACCCTCACGGCTGGCCAGCGAAACAGCCCTGCATGGCACCAAGCTCGTAGAGGCCGCCTGACTGCCAGTAATTTTGGCTCCGTCCTCCAGGCAAAAAGAGTTACACCGTCTCTTATCAAGCGACTACTTGGGGAATACAACTTGAGTGGAGTTAAAGCAATTGCATGGGGACAGGACAATGAGACTGAGGCCCTGAAATCCTTCACCAACATCACAAACTTTACACCTGTACAGACCGGCCTTTGGCTACACGAGTCGGGAGTTCTGGGTGCTTCCCCTGATGGACTTGTGGGAGACGACTCGGTGATTGAGTGTAAGTGCCCCTACACACATCGAAATGCGACAATCAAGGAAGCTTGTGGGCACAAAGACTTTTACTTGGAGGAGAAGGAAGGGAATTATACGCTGTCTACCACACATGTTTACTGGCATCAGTGTCAAGGCCAGATGTTCCTGACAAAGCGCAAATTCTGCTACTTTGTTGTATGGACCACAAAGGATAGTGTAGTTATCAAGATTGAACGAGATGAATCTTGGGAGCACAATATTACTATCTTGAGTGATTTTTACTTTCATCAACTATTCCCAAAGATTACCGAGGGAGAACTTTGAAAAGTGGTGCACAGATGCTGGACATAATCAGAGTGGGGGGGGGG